AGATGTGCCCTAAAGTCAAAACGCCATGGAATGCTATCGAACGGCATTATCCTTCTTCATGATAATGCGCACCCCACACTGCCAACTCTGTGAGGAATACACTACAGAGATTTGGTTGGGAAGTGCTTCAGCATCCCCCCTACAGCCCAGATCTCTCATGTGATTTTCACATCTTTGGAGACCTGAAGAGAGACATTTGTGGACATCGGTTTGCATCGGACGAAGATGTGTGTAGCTGGGTAAAGATGTGGTTCCGTAGAGAGCCCACAAGCTTTTTCAAGGATGTGATAGATCGTCTTATCTCCCAGTGGGATAAAAGTATTAACAGTTTTGGAGATTACTTTTGAGGTAAGAAATGTTCTTTAATATGTTTTAACTTCTGACCTATTTTCATTTGACTGCCCTTCATATTACCATAGTCAATAAGTTCGTGGACTGGCCAGAAAGTGTCATCGCAGTGCACTACAGTGGATAGCAAGAGGCAGTTGTGTGCGAACAGTGTAAGCAGAACTATGGCCTCTGTTGTGAACTGCAGTTAAATGTGAGTGGCGAAAATCGAAAATATGGGCAAACATCAAGTTCCCCTAGCGAAACGTTTAACATGATGAAGCAAGTGTACAGCGAAGAAGCTTTGGGCCGCAGTGCCGTGTTTAAATGGCACCAACGTTTTGCGCAGCAGAGAGACAGTTTGGAGGATTATGAGCATAGTGGTCACTCAAAAGCGGTCAGAACTGAACGCAAGATCGAAGAAGTTGCAACGTTGGTATAGCAAGTGTCACGTAACTTCAAACAAGGCCAAGAGTAACCTTGAATGTGCAGAAGAAAAATTTCCGACAAGAGGGTGGGTTTGAGGCTGTGAGAAGTGGAAGAACGAGTGTTAAGAAACTCCTCCCACCACAAGCTATGCGAGGGATTTGACTAGGAATGTGGGGCCTTGTTCGAAGTTATGTGACACTGTCTATACGTGCCATCTGCCCCCAACCGATAGATGATATCGCAGCAGCAGTAGAGATAAGCCATGGTACGTGCCACAAAATTCTCACTGATGGCCTGAACAAGTCACGTGTTACCGAGCACTATTTTGGGGGCTGATATGGATCTGTGTAAGTGTATGTGACTACCTTGTAATATGATGGGATAAAACCACAGTCCACAAACTTAATGACTGTCCCACGTATTTGTTTTACTTTTTATTGTCATTTTCTATACTTCGTATTTTGTGTCATCTAGCCAGGTTGCTAAGTAAAAGTAAAGCTACCCTGTAACAGGCCGTGAAGGCCCATAGGGTTGTGAGATGTTGAGGGTCCTACATTATCTAGACCAGTGTTTCACAACCTTTTTCGACAATTAATTTCTTACGATAGGTAAAAGTTTGTGTCACACCTTTCACCTTGTGACGGCACACCAGTGTGCCGTGGTACACCGGTTGCAGAACACTGATCTAGACCAGGGGTCTCCAATGTTTTCGAACCGCGGGCCACATTAGGTAATTCAGCACTTTCAACGGGCCGGATAAAATGAGAAATTAATAACTCTATGTATATGAGTTTTATTGAAAGCACAGAATTTCATAAACTTAATGCAAAGTACGTGAGAATAAATTATCGTATACTAATGACAACAGACAGTAGCAGCAAATGCTCATATTTTCATCACAAATTATAAAAAACAATTAATGTGAATGATGGAACCCTTTTTGCATTCTTAAAATCTGATTAAATTGAGGTTCAAATTTTGAAACGCTATTCACAAGTAGCAACTTCAAATGTTCATCGGATAAATTTGCCCTGTATTTCAACTTGATGTACTTCATCTGGGAAAAAGTTTGTTCACACAGTATGTCGCCTGAAAAATGGAGATAAATTTACAAGCAAATTTCTTTAAATTTAGAAATGGCTCAGAGTTCAGAAATTTATAAAATTCGATCAAATTTCCTTCCTTATTTGTCTTTAATATGATAATTTTCCTGACGTTCAATAATTTCCATTTGAATTTGACTTGGGACATCTGCAGCATCACAGTCAAACAGATTTTTGAACAATCTAATTTCCTGAGCACTGGAATCCAAATCAGCAAATCGCTTCCGAAATTGTTCTTTCAAACCTGAAATGACTAAATTTGCAAATGAGGAAGGAAATTCTGCTTCACCCTTTTTATGTAACTCTGCACAGTATAGCATATGAACAAAGTTACAATTTTTCACTTGGCTTTCCAGAAGTATCAACTTTGCTCCGAATGCCTTGATAAGTGCAAAGAAATCACAGACTAAGTTATTTTCACCCTGCAACTTTAAATTCATATGGTTTACCAGATCAGCAAAACTGCTAATTTCCAAAGCCACTTGGTATCTGATAAAAGTGATTCGTTATGGTTTTCTAGGTATGAAATATATCAATTTCATTCCTGAGCTGAAAGAAGCGCGAAAGAACCTTTCCACAGCTAAGCCATTGAACTGCAGTATAATATGTCAGGTCAATAAGCTCGGAATCACATTTACCAGTACTCATTGGAAAATTAGTTCAATTGGCGCATTTCTGCACAATTCTTTCGCGGGCTGGATAAAATCACATCGCGGGCCGCATGTGGCCTGCGGGCCGTTGTATGGAGACCATTGATCTAGACCATCGTCTCAAAGATGGCGGTAAGGTTGTCAGCCTTATGCGCCAGCCGTGCTTTACTTCCCAGGAAATTAATTAATTCCTGGTACTCATTTCTGTTAGAGACTGAAGGGCCATAGTGCGGCTGGAAGGATTAGGTCAATTGAAAAAATCCAGTGACCTCATCGGGACTTGAACCCGTGACCTTTCGGCTTGTAGCATAGTGGCTCAACCAACTACGCTACTGTCTGCCCCCTGTTACTAAGATGCAAATAAAATCTCTGATGTCAGTAACAGTTTTTCACTTCATAGATATCAATGTGTGCTATTTCATTTAGAAATAATGATCACAAAAATGAAGTCAGAATATACTACAGTATAAGTGTAATAGTCAGGTACCACCGGATGTTAAAGAGATGCAAGCCCATACACATATTTGCACACATAGCCCTTCGTATGACCTGACAAAATTGCCTTTTGTGTTAATATTTGTATTATAATATGCCTTGACCTTTTTCAGTGAAGTCGTCATATCCTGTTTTGGTTAGCAACTGAGTCATGTAAAAGGGAACCACAGAGAATAATTCATAGACAGTACATGAGTAAATGATGCTTGAGAAAATCTTGTAGAATATTTTTATACTTATGATACTACACATTTGATCATTTAAAGTTATATAAATTTGCTTGTATTTATAGAATTGTCCAAGTCATGACAATACATGCACCCTGATAAGCGTACTGTGTGTTAAATATGCTAGTGATAACTGATATGTTGTATGCAGGATGATGGTGATGATGTACTTCAAAGAACTTTTTAGCTTTCTGCAATTCCACAAATTTCACGAGTTGAACTCAATTATGCAACACAGTTAGAAATAGTTTTACTACCTGTGAGTCCTCTGAGGAAACATTTTAATTTAGGTGGCAAATATTAACGGCAGTAATAACCTGAGAATATTTGAGGAAATAGTAATGAATCTTTATGTGACCATAGTTTTTGGTTATTTTCAGAATGAAAATGTTCTGTTGCAACATTTTTATGATATAATGGAAGAAAAAAAGAGTCGTGATCCAAAACTATCAACAAATATTTTAATCATGGAGCTCCTTACTATATTAAACAAGAAAAAATTGTCACTGGAAGCCAGGTACAGTTTGTAATAAGAGTTTGAAAATGTATGTAACAAGAGTAACAGACAGTAGGGATATGCTGTTTAAGATTTAATAATTTTTCTAAATATTTCTGAAAGAAATAATATCCAGCAACACCTCATTTTATAATGAATGTGTGTGGTAGAAAAAACATTAGATATAGGTTTGTACTTGAAATTTCTTTCCTTCACTTCTTGATTTTCTATGAGGAGAGCTTTACTTTACACACACACAAACCATGCTGCAGAACCGTGTCACTGTTTCTGATTAACATTCACTTTAAAGAAAGTCATCTTCTGGGATCTGGCGCCATGTATTCTTCGTTTTAACCGACGTTTCGGAGGAACATATCGCCTCCATCTTCAGGGTAGTTGAGTTGCGTGCGAATAGAGATAGCTGTAGCATGGTCCCACATCCCAACCCCCCCTGCCTATTTCATATATAAACCAGCACTTTTCACTTCCCAATCATTGCTGCTACAGCTATCTCTATTCGCACGCAACTCAACTACCCTGAAGATGGAGGCGATATGTTCCTCCGAAACGTCGGTTAAAACGAAGAATACACGGCGCCAGATCCCAGAAGACGACTTTCTTCATAGTCATCGCCGTGAAAACCTCAAAACTAACATTCACTTTGGTTCTCCATTAGTCTATAAAATAAGATGGTTGGTGACATCCACAATTGTGTGTGACTAACAAGCTTTATAACTTGCCACAGCTCTGTGAATTATTTTTACAGCCCATTTCCTTCTCATACTCTGGGAGAGATAGTGGATCTTCTACAAAGTGAGAAAATAAATCTAGTTACTGCACGGAAGATACTTCAGGAAATCATATCTGGTAATTCTATGTCTCCATCAGAGGTAAGACAACAAAGAATTGTTACTTGGTAGTGTTATCTTTCTTACAAGAATCCATTCCTTATGTTACACAGGTTTGTAAGTTGCAAGTTCATGTATATGCCCGAATTTGTTTACCAAATGTGGATGTAATGCACTTGACAAAATGCTATTTTGAAACTTACTACTGACCATTATACCCATTACTGAAAATTAAACGTTTCTCAGACCAATAAGTAACTCATACAACCAGCACTGCCCTCCTCTTTCTTATGACCATTTGTAACCCTGTGCAGCCTCTCTGAAAATTACACCATTTTTCCACCAGTATGCATGAAACCACTTGAGAACTGCTAAATCGATTTTCATGAAATTTGATAGGTATAATGACACTACATGGAGAACTACATACATTTATGAGCATATTCGGAGTATAACTACTAAATATTTACCTGAGTGAAAAATGTTTTGAATAACAGGTAAAAGATAAAGCTATCCGTGTAACAGGCCATGGAGACCCATAAGGTTGTGAGTTGTTGAGGGTCCCACATTATCTAGATAATTGGCTCACAGATGGCAGTAAGGTTGACAGCCTTATGCACCAGCCACCCTTTACTCCCCGGGAAGATGCCTGGTACTCATTTCTGTTAGAGGCTGAGTTGACCCCAGGACCATAGTGTGGCTGGAAGGATTAGGTAAATTGGAAAAAAATCCACCTCATCGGGACTCGAACCCGCGACCTTCCGGCTTATAGCTTAATAAGAGGTATTGAGAAAAATGAAGGATATTTAAGCCCAATAAATTTCAGCTGCAAGTCTTTCAGTTTATGACAGTGGTTCTCAAACTGTGTGGCGCGACCCCTAGGGGGGGGCGCAGCATACTTTCCTACAGATAGAAATTAAAACTGCCCTAAATCAATTAGAAAAGTAACAAAAAATAAAAATACATATAGAAAAACTTTTGATGAGTACAGGCTTTAATTATCATGAATTTCAAAATAACTAATAATTATTCTCTTTACCGGCAATTATAAGACGCGTATGCCAGAGACAGCGTTGATAGTTCAGCAGCAGCCGTATCCTCCGAAATCCTCTGAAGTCTAGACTTTTTAAAATGCTGTGTGAGGAAATGGGTGCCCAACACACTGCTCTGTTGTTTTTTAGTGATGCTCGATGGCTTTCAAGAGGCAAGGTATTAAAGAGAATGTTTAAGCTGAGACATGAGGTGTTCTGTTTTTTAAATGGGGAAAATCACTCACTGGCAGACAGTTTCAGCAACAAGGATTTTTTATTGAAAATGGCTTACCTCACAGATATATTTGGGAAACTAAATATCCTCAACACTTCACTTCAAGGGATTGAGGCAACTGTACTTTCTTGGAATGACAAAGTGAAGGCATCCATGAGAATACTAGAGCTCTGGAGAAACAGTATGGAAAGTGGCACGCTAGACATGTTCCCTACTCTGGTGTCAATGGTACAAGACACTGATAATCCAGTGCTTCCAATGTACATAAAAAGCTGCCTACTTGATCATCTCATAATGTTGAAAGTTCATTTTGAAAAATACTTTTGCAATGATTTTGATAAATTTAATTGGATTAAAAATCCATTCAAAAATGCTCCTGGGCCATCATCTCTGAATGTAAATGAGCAAGAACAACTCATCGATCTCACTAGTGATACTTCATTAAAAAGTAAATTTAAGGAATTGTCTTTGTTGGAGTTCTGGATACGTATTGGCACGGAATTCCAAACTTTGAGCCAAAAAGCATTGAAACTCCTGATTCCTTTCGCAACAACTTACTTATGCGAGACAGGCTTTTCTGCTATGGCAGCTACAAAGTCAAAGTATCGTTCAAGGCTAAATGTGCTAAAGAAGTTAGAGTGGCCATTTCTGATATTACACCACGTTTTGATAAACTTTGTTCTCAAAAGCAGACCCATCCATCACACTGAACTTTGACATTTAAATGTTTGATTTTCTTTGCAAAAAAAAAATTAAATACTTGTTAGTTAAATATCGTTTCGTTTCATTACATATTTTGGTTAACTGCAAATGTTAAAACTAATTTTTATTGTAGGCCTAGTATTGTGATACTTTAATTTTGAGTAAGAAAACTGCTAAATAGTATGTAGAAAAAACAAAATAAACTGAATGAAACATCAAACCTACCATGACTTCTACTTTGATAGAAAAAAAACAGGCTGGGGGCCTGAGAGTATATTCTCTTCTCAGGGGGGGGGGCTCAGAGGTAAAACGTTTGAGAACCACTGGTTTATGAGATAATGAAACAAGAACTGTTACGTCATATGTACATTTCCTAATATGTGTATTCAGCAATGAACAATGGTCTTCTAAGTACATGCAGTGGTTAGAAAACAATCGACAGTGGCTTTCCAGACACACATGAAAATTAATTAGGTCTCTTATTTCTGATAATAAATAAACAGACCTCCCTCCCATCTAAATTTATAGGACTACATGTATAAATACATATTTCATTAAATTCTTAATTTTACATAAGAGCATAAACCATTCTTTCCAGCTTATCTGAATAAATACTAAAATTATTTGGGCCTGTCATTATAAATACTTGGGAATAAATGTTAAATGTAAAAATAATATTGTCACATGTTGGGTGTATAACGTGACAAGTAACTTCACGCCTAATTGGATATAGCGACTTTTATTTCACACTCGCTCTTACGATCACACCATTTACAATCTCACAATTACTGCCATCGGCAGTATCACAAATACTAGACTGCAATTAACTGGTTACTCTTTCTCTAGTAACTGGCTCAGTCCTCACTGTCTAATCACTCGCTACTAACTAACTGACTGACTGACTGACTGACTGACTACTCACTCCCTGGCTAACTCGTAACTAACTGTTGTGCATTGTTCGCTGCTCCTTAATTAGCCTCATTATGGACAACACAGAAAACAGTTACGTAATAGGCACCACTGTTGCATAACGTCGTGTTTACTGATAGCCTAGCAATGCTGTTGGGTGTTGTTTACTGCTGCATAGCAACCGCGGCATCCCGTGTTACATCACCACGGCAATGGTTGCCTGGCGCCGCCGCTCCTCTGCCACGTCACCGCGGGAAAGGGGGTGTCTACCGAGCGTTGCACACTGATGGACGGAGTGGGGGTATGTGATGTCACTCATGAGATCACAGAGTTCACGCAACCCCCACCTCCCGCTACGCAATCCACGTCAGAATATATAATAAATAAATACAAATATATGTAAAACATGAATGCATGCAAACACACAAGTATATGAGTAAAGAAAAGCACTGATGATGACCACAGTGGCTGTGGTTCCAAAAGTAAATAAACTGACCACTTCAAATCTGTGGTTCTTAAACTGCAGTCACATAACAGAAATTATTTTGACATGCCACTGCAGAGAGTATGTTCAGTTGAAGTTTCTCGTAAAAATCATGCAGTTCTCAGATATATATTTAGTGCACTGAATTCATGTCATGGAACTGTCCTTAGTGTGATTCCAAAGGAATAAGGCTTATTTATTTATTTTCTGTTTGAATTACTCAGTCATGTACTAGACAGACTTTAATACTGCTGGTAAGAAACAGTGGGCTTATGTACCTTTTATTTGCAGGTGGTGGAGAAGTATGAATGGACTCAAATCACCAATCCAAGTGAAATTGAAAAAGTGTGTACAGCAGTAATAGAGCAAAATCCAAAGCTGGTGGAACAGTTTTGTTCTGGAAAAACTAAAGTATTTAATTCTCTTGTAGGAAAAGCCGCTAAAATAACAGAGAACAGGGCTAACATGGCAACCGTAGTTCAAGTACTCACAGCCAAATTAAGGAAAATACAGAATCCTTAAATCGTAATAGAAACCACTGTATCATGTTTAAAATAAAGGTATTTTATAAGGAGAATATCAACTTTGTGAATTTTCACGCAAAAATCTTTGTCTCCATGTATCATGTATACACATTGGTATACAAGTGAACCAACAGAAAAATATCTGAAAGCCATGACAAAACTTTATATGTCATGTCTTAAGCATTTTCACTGTCACTGCTAAATGTTTAGCTAACTGGGGAAACAGTTGGACAAACCCTTGCTGTAAATGTTTCCTTGCTTTTCAGTCAAATCACAGTTTTTTTGTGTGTGTATCCCCCCTAACTGTGCAAACTTTTAAAAGCCTAGAATCTCCATTTATGTTTCTATGTCACCAAACCCTCATTAACATAAATTTTAAATAAAATTCAAAACAGTATCCTTGCTTTAATCCTTTGCGTACTCTAAATTCTTTCAACAACTTTTTCTCAACCCTTACATAGCCTACGATGTCTTCATAAAAGTTCCTTACTGTTTTAACATATGCTGCATTTATTGCTAACTCTCCAACAATCTACATTGTCTTGAACCTCCTACAGATCAATGAATGTCAAATGCAAGACTCATTCATGAGTTGATCTCATTTTGTACGACTGATTTAATGTAAAAACACTGCCAATATATGAACCTCCTCTGTTTCATCTGTTCCTTTCAGAATTCTCCCACACATAAGCCCAATGAAATCCATGACTGTCCTTGCCTGGCAATTCTTATACCTGTTCTTTTATCTTTCCTAACATTTGATGTTACCCACTTTATTTTCTATATAAACACTCAATGAACAATGAGAGGTCACAGAAGTCACTGTTTTGTTGTGAAAGAAGAATGAAAACATTGAGAATGGTTGACTTAAGGCATTCTTGAGCATTGTATTGACAAAATAATGACTGCTGCTAAAATCATAAAAACTCTAATGACAAATGTGAGGAATAAGGGCACCTCATATTACGTTCAACATGGTTCAGTCCCCTTGTCAGTGTGACATTTTACATGTGGGGGTTAATCGCTTGGTAAATATAAATTTTCATAAAACTGAATAATAAAAATATAGCATGTTCTTGACTACTTTTATATAGAACTAGAAATTTCTACCAAAATCCCACAGCCAACATTTTATAACACTTCTTGCATGATGTACTTACAGACTGTCCACTTTAATAGTTAAGGTACGGATATGCATAAACTTCACTTAACTGTCCAGGAGATGAGCCATTATCAGTACTGTCCTTAAAAGTATAAGAAATTAAAACAGGAACCTTGGATTTTCGACCAGAATGGCACAATTCAAAGCAGACAGTCAGTACTATAAAACCATATAAAGGTAAACTTTCTGTTGAAAAATGTGTCTTCAAAATTTGATACCATGCAGAAAATACAAAAAAACGTTTACAGAAGTTAATTTATAATTTATTTAAAATAAGCAGCAACAAAATATTAACATAAAAATGGAATTATATATATTCTCATAATAATGCAGAAATGACCAGAAACATTCATTACATTGAATCAAAATATAATATATGCCTAATATGACTCTGTACACACAAATCTGTAGAAATACATTTACTGCAATACACTGTACATCAAGTTGTACCATTGCAACACAATGAGTCCATGCTTTACCACGTCCCATGCCATTGCAAGAGAACTCTGGTGAAAGCCAATGGACTTCCAGTGTAAAAAGTACAGTAGTATACACTCAAAATGTTGTATTTCTATAGCTTTCCATAACAGTAGGGGAAAAAAAAGAGCATTAAATTATTTAGTTGGACATTAACTTTAGAAAAGAAGCGACTCTCAACAATCTTCATTATATTTACTCTCAATACAGGTGATTCAATTGTAAACATAAAGTGGGGTATAAAGCAATGTAAGAAAAGACTATTTCATTCAGGGTAACCATACATCTTACTTTCTTCCGTCATTTTTTTTAAATGCTATGTTCTGACAAACACTAGACATCAGTTGTCCATTTCTTTATATGAAAAAGTAATTTGTTCCATTTCACTTTCATGCTAGAGAACTCTTTCTCAGAAATCTATTCAATGTATCATACCCAATGTTCTACACTAAAAAATCTTGTGATGGATTTAAATTCCTACTGCAATAATATGGCAAGACAACCATTTGATGCCTGTCTGTCTAGTCTACTACACTGTTAAATGAAGTATTTATGAGATGTGGCAATGTTATTGTGAAATGTTTACAAAAAGAAATTGTAAGAAAAGCTGCATGTAGCAGTACTTTGGATTCATGACAAACTGAACTTTCATTATTTTCAAACTCTAAATCACCCTAACTTAGTATGAGCTGTAAACATTCCAAAAGAAATCTTTTGAAGTCTTCAATTTTCATGAGATATGACACCCTATAGTTCACACATTTCCTAAACTATAACTCCGTCTGAAACAAACAATTTATATCCTACACTCCTTGTCAGCCAGTGACAGAATGATAGCTGTTGTCACTTATGAGACACTGGAAAGGCATGGGCTGCAATCATATGAATTGAATGCATCAAGAAAAACAATATACACTTGTGTACTGTATTAACTCCTGAGACTAGTTTGCCAGAGCTCCCCGACATAGTCGAGACTGACCTAGATGCTTGGTCTTCACCACACGTTTTGAATGAAGCACAGGTGATTGATTATGCTATTCATTTATAATGGTATGTCAGTCTGATGCTTAAAGTAACCAAAGAGCTGACAACGTATTAGGAGCTACTGCAATATCCCAAGCCATCTTACAACTGATGTCTAGCCTGTACTTATCCAGAGTGAGGAGGATGACTTATTGCTAAAACAGTCAATTTATTAGTGTACAAAATCTTTAAAAATAAAAATAAAAACAATCCAGAGAGATGGCATCAAAAACTGAAATGGCAGAGGAATAAAATACCAAGAAAATACCCCACAATAATCAAAGTGTTATATCAACCGAATTATGCAATCGGTGTATTCCGACTGGGCAGTGGAATAGCATTACAAGTTAAAATGTAATAATCATGATGACTGCCTTGACAGTCCTGTGTGGACCCTGGCCTTCAGAAGTTCCAGCCAATCTTCTCTATTCATTTCCGTATTCCGTATTGAGGGGGTGGGTTTCCCCATGCACTTAGACCGGTTACTGGTCCATTGTGCGTCCCCCTTTAATTCCTACTGTCTCCATACCCTAACCGTCTAACCGTACTGGTGCTTACTATCAGCCCCTTTCTGCCAGCGAGGTTCCATCCTCTTACTGGCAGTGGTATCTAATAGTTAGTCCCTTTCTGTCAGCGAGGTCGTCCCTCCTCTGGCAGGGGTTCCTAGTCCCTTTCTGCCAGCAAGGCTTCTACCCTCTACTTGGCAGTGGTATCTAATACTTTAGTCCTTTTCTGTCAGAGATGTCCCCCCTCCTCTGGCAGTGGTACCCGATACTTCCCCCATCTACCGGAGGAATTGGAAACTAGTTGGCAGAGAAACTTGGCCTAATTTTGCTCAGAGGTCTCCTAGAGACATGAGGTTCTTTTACGTGCCGTAAATCTACGACACGGGACCCACGGCTTAAAGTCCCTCCCGGAGGACTTGTTCCCTGAATTTTTCCGCCCTTAAAAATTCCACGACCTCCGCCAGGTTTTTGAACCCGCGTACCTTGAGTCATGAGGTGGGAACGTTACCCCTAGACTACGGAGGCTGCTTCTCTATTCATAACCACAGTCTTCCAGTTCTTCACTCCTGGGGCCCTGATATCCCATCTCATGCCATCCTCTCATCTCAGTGTGGGCCTTCAAATTTTCCTAGTCCCTACAGGTCTGGTATCAAACACCTTCACTGTCATACTATTTTCCATACATATAATATGTCCATCCCAGCTCAGTCTGTTTATTTTTATATATTTAGTAATATCTGGCACACTTAAATAGCTTACACAATTCATGATTATAAGTCTTCCTCCATGTACCCTTATCCTGCACTGCTCCAAAAATATATCTGGTAACTCTTCTTTCAAATAAACCTAATGATCTTTCATCTGCCATTAAAATGTAATAGATAACATAAAACAGGGTGATGCTATGGAATACACTATGCTGGCTCACACATTATACTGTAGCACGTTATAGTAAATGCATTTAATTGCATCATAAAGTTTTCTGTCAAAGACAGAAGAAGCAAGACAAATGCATTTATCCTGGTGAACATACACAGTCAGTGTAGCCATTAAAAAACTAATTTGGAATAGTGTAAAGAAATGATACAGACTTTAAAAAGATCCATGATCTATGATACAGAATGTTTAAAAACATATTACCACAGCATACAAAATAAAAATAATCCTCATGAATATAATTGCTTTCTTGCAATTTTTAAGCTTCTCATTTGATCTCACATTTATGACCCAGATTTCTAGGAAAGACTAATCTAACATAAATAATTTTAACCTTAACTGCCAAGAAGGACACTATTGTGGCATGTAGACCAGTTGCTAGACGATGGCTGTTACTAGGCAATGGCCCATAAACAGCAACAGAGTAACAGTGGTTTCTATGCGATTCATGTCGAGATGTTATAAGCAGGACAGTTAGTGAGAATCTACTGAGTTGAGTTGGTTGGTGAGTGAGTCAGTCAGTCAGTCTGAGAACTGCTAAGGTTCACTCGTGAACTGTTGCTGTAAGACGCTGGAGGCTGAGCTTGGAGATAGTTCAGGAACTCAGAGGAAAGGTATTACTCACATTAATATCTTCCCCACAAAGATTCAGACCAAGTGCCTTAATATGAGTCCAGAGCATTAACCCTCTGCCAACCTACTCAATCATAATCGTTATTATTCTTGTAACTTCTACATGGGTGAAAACAACTCCTCCATTGTTTTGTATGGTACAAATCAGAACTGGGCAATATTAGATATGACCTGATATGATCGTTGCAATCAAATAATTCATGAAAATTATAACAAAAATTAAGTAAATTTTATGTATGAAAATTAACATGTGAAGTCATCATTATAATATGCTACAGTTGAAAGTATCAGAATTATCTACAACCCTATATAAGATGATATTATGGGTTCAGATTTTTTTTGTCACTTTACAAACAGGCTGAATTCTACCTGCTTGTCTGAATTCACATTTAATGGACAATGCATGCATGAGAAAACACATACAGCATGTCTGAGGTTTCTATCTTGCTCACTATATGTTTATTCTCATTAATAATACTTTCATAGTGTTTCAATGGTCAGTGGCCACTGCTGTCACATTTTCATTTACTGTTTCAGTATTTGTACTACATGTTTTGGCCTTATATGGCCATCCTCGTGTACATTTTATGTGTAAGCTGCTTAACTGCATCAATTAGCTAATGAGGGATATATTAATTAAATTAAAATTAAACTAAAAGCTAATTGTTTAAAATAGTTTAGTGTTTTTAAAAAATATGGGTAACAAATCAACTGTTTCACTTTTTGATGGTGAATACCAAGATGCACATGTGTTCTTTATATCTGGTATTAAATTTTCTCCCAGTTTGTCCTATATATCCCATGGGCACATACATGACATAAGACACAATAACAGCAATACAGGATACTCGGAACACATATTAAACACAGGACATGCATATGGTACAAAAGAAAATACTTGAATATCATAGCAACAAATAAGAAAGGACAATATTTAAACATCTTAATTTCATGCATCCTGCTGTGCTACAATATACAACTCTTTAATGAACCGTCACAACACAGCAAATAGTAAAACATCAAAGTCTGCATTCAGCTGTGGCTTTGCTACATGTTTCGGCCACTATCTGCCATCATCAGGCAAATACATATCAACAAAAATCTACCATTTAACTGCAATCATAAAATGGATATAACACTATTAATCGTACTTAATTGCTTTCCATGCAATATGGACAATTCTTCTTAATGACGAGGCAACATTACACAATTCATTAATTGCTACACCATGGGCCTCTCTTAAAATCTTCTATATAAAGTAATAGCAAATTTCCCTACTGTCAATGGAAACGCACACAAAGTATATCCAACGACTGATTCAATGTTTTTGCAAACATCATTAATATTTTATCTTGTCATAATACTTCCAATTTTTAATTTTTATATAATCTGAACTTTTGTATTTTTTACGTAAGCATTTTTAAATTTGTACGATTAATAGTGTTATATCCATTTTATGATTGCAGTTAAATGGTAGATTTTTGTTGATATGTATTTGCCTGATGATGGCCGATAGTGGCCGAAACATGTAGCAAAGCCACAGCTGAACGCTGACTTTGATGTTTTACTATTTGCCGTGTTGTGACAGTTCATTAAAGAGTTGAATATTTAAACACATTAGAAAACTATCATATATACAGAACAACAAAGAAAAACACACATATGAACAATATAAATAAGCAAATATATAATCCAGTATTTCAGGAATTACACACAATTTACACAGAACATAACACAACCCCACCACCTACCCCTACCACATCATAACTCAATCAATATGAAGACACACATCCAACATTACAACACTCGCAGCTAAAAAGGGAACACACATCACAAGACACGGTGAGTACTAAACATTATAATACAACACATAACAGATAGAAGCTGAAAGTAATAATAATAAGTACTTTTTTCAGGTTGCAGGTTTACACAGAATATAAGAAAAACGACCCCCATAGTAGAAGAACCAGACGCAAGTTTTAATTAAGACACATAAGATGAATAATCTTTTAGTGTGTGTAAATTTATTATACTTGACGAATACGCACTTTTTAAATAATTTTATAAAGACATATAATGGCAAGCAACGCAATAGATTAGCGTAATTAGGGCACCTGATGATGGCACTTTGTTGCCGAAACATGTCATGAAGTAACAGGTGAAATTGAGTGCACTACAAGACGGCCACTGTATACATATCATGGACAAATAAGGGTAGTTCCTTCCACCAGCAGAACATAAATATACATGGAACACCAACAACAAAACTACATTGGATACCTACAGAAAAAATGTGCATTGTAGTATTCACCTCCAAAAGTGAAAAAAGTGAAACGCTTGAATTATTATCCATGTCACTTGACTGGTTTTAACTTTTAACGTAGTTTTAATTTAATTAACTGGTAGGGAATTGATACAGTGGATCAGCTTACACATAAATTATATATGTGGCCAAATCATGTGGTATCATTAGTGACGCAGCAAATGAAAATGTGACAGTGTGGCCATAGCCATGCAACAATTTTCTATGAAAGTTCCGTTAGTAAGACTGAGAATAAACATTAAGTGATCAATAAATGCTAGAGGATAGTTAAACATAACATTATTTTTATCTTGGTATTGGTGATCCACACCAGATGCACTTTATATTAACGGGAGCTTACACCATAGTCAGAAAATGATACTTCTCTGACAGTTATGACAGTCAAATGTGATTGTCACATAATTATTTAATCATCATGTATACAAACTGCTCCAATTTTGTAGCATTAAATCTTAGGACTATCATTAATGGAAAATAGGAATGATGAAGAAATGGTCACAACCTATTTTATGGTACTACTAAGGTAAAAAAGAAAAGTAAAGCTATCCCTGTAACAGGCCATTGAGGCCTTATACATCAGCCACCCTTTACCCCCAAGAAGATTCCTGGTACTCATTTCTGTTAGAGGTTGAGTCGATCCAGGGCCACAATGCAGCTTGAAGGATTAGATCAATTGAAAAAGTCAGTGAACTCATCAGGAATTGAACCTGCCACCTTAAAGCTTGTAACATAGTGCCTCAACCACCATGCCACCATGTGGCCCCTTCTATGGTCTACTACAACTTGGCTTGAATTTGATTAAGACCGACTCCAATGAGGTTTTTGATTCTTTTACTGTTATAAACTCCCTCCAAATATGTTATGTTCTGTGGTACTACTACATATCTGGAGGGAGCTGATAACAGTGAAAGATAAAAAATCAAAAACCTCATTGAAATCGATCCTAATCAAAATTCATGCCAAGTGCTTCCTGAATACTTGTCAGATGTGGCAATGGAGAAGAAATGCATCAATACTGTCACATCTTGCTGACTGAACAGAAAGCCCACACCTCATAAATTCCTCCATCGGCAATGTAAAGTCATAATGTACATACTGCATTGCACGAAGTCACCTTCTGTCATAAAAAATCACAAGGATTCAAAATTAACAAAAACATAGACTATAAAGGAAATATTGATTACTTTAAAATTATAATACATATAAAAATAAATGGAATTTTCAGAAAGTCAGCAATACATTTATGTGAGAATTACTATCAAGACTGTATTCTCATTATACAAATAGATGTTTTATTCATATTTTACAGCATGATTTACTTTTATATTTGTACAGTGAAAGTGTGCACACAAAGTCTTACCAACTATACACAGCAATATATTAATGACCATCTGCATTCCAATTAAGTAAGTTAGGAAATATAAGCACAGTGTATCAGTTCTGGTGTGTTCACTCATGTCATTTAATTCTCTTAAAAAACAATAAGCTTTAAAGAAAAGGTGTATTTTGGTTAAAATATGTTTGTTTTTTTATACAACTACTGCATGAAACCTTTCTTGCCTGGTAAATATTTAGTAAGCAGAAATGCATATAGGTCTTCACATATTTGTCCATTAGTAGTGCCCAATTTTAAACAAAAGTGGAATGTGTTTATAAATTTCAGTATTACTCTCAAACATCAAATTTAATGAAAATCCATTAAGCAGGTCTCGAACTGTTACATGTGGACAGACAGGCAGGTTAACATATACACTTTTGCAAGTCCTCACTGTGAAAATACTAAAAAAAGGTATTTTCCTTTTATGGGTTCATTTACAATACAATCCAGAAATTAGTGGTAATGGTAACTGGGGGTGGGGGAAACAACAGGAAAGTGGAATATTTCTTTTAGTCCTACTAAGTTTTAACCTTTCAAATCTAGTCATTTCACACTCTTACATTTGCACTGTTTATAGCAGAAACTTCTGTCTTTTAGAACCCATATACATCAAGTTACTTTGTGAACTGCAGCTATACCTGACAAAAAAGGGGAAAATATCAAATCTTCTAAGATAATTAATGAAAAAATTTTGTGTTTCATCACTATCTGATGTTTCTGGATAATCCAAATGGCATTTCAATAATTCTAATGTTTACAGTATAAAAGGACAGATTTAAGCACTCCAGTTCATAAGAGACATATACGTAAAATTCCAGCACAATTCTTTCACATTACATGGACAGCAGCACACAAAATGTAAACTGTTCAAGTATACTGCTGTCCTCCAGCACACATGCCATTTACTGATTGGCCAGTCAAATGTAGCTTTTCATCAAATTATACTGAAACACACCTCAGGAGGGGGAGTAGAATCTGGAGATAACGTCTTGAGATACTGGGGTTTAAAATAAATAAGATAAAATTGTAATTGTCAGAGATGTGAATGTAAGCTAACTCATAATTCTACCCAGAAGCTTACGTAGCCCATCTTGGGCTCCAATATAATCTAATCCATAGCGATTTACGAGACCTTCAATTCAAAGGGTCTTTGAAAATGAGAGGAAACAAGATATGTCCATATTTACTGATATATATTGCAAGCAGCAAGGTTCCAAATTATAGAAATGAAGTATGGGCACATCACATTACTGAAGTTGTTCATATTACAAATAAGTTATATGTGGCATAAGTCTAAGAACAAGCTACAAATGCTGAACTGTGTGACCATAATTTCGAGCACTGGGCTTTCATTTCTGTAACAGATTTAAAGTCACATACATACAAAAAGATACAGGCAATGGTACTTTCTGAGAAAAAAAATAAAAAAATACTATTTCAGACATCCTGATATTACATATAAAGAGGCCAACAACAAACTCCAACAGATTTAAACATTACACTTCCTTCAGACAATACACTGATGCTGAATAGTAAAATCTATATGAAATTCCAGAAAAATGACAGCAAATGAAAGACGTACATGAGAGAACACAGCTTATTTGTAGGCTTAACGGAAACATTATTACCTGTACCATTACAAATTTTTCATATTTTTTCATATTTCTGATAACTGATCTCTGGAACAGATACTCAAGTTTCTAATATATCTGAAAATTTCATTAGCACACTTAATCTCGAATTTCATTGTGTAAGCTCAATGGCATAGTCACAATAACACACCAACACTTCAAGATATGCCATTTTACTACTGAAAGAAAATATCATCTTTGGAAGTGGCTGCAGAATTTTCAGTTATATACAAAGTATTAAATGCTCTGAGTTATGATGTTCTGCACAATAATTAATTACAAATGCTACATCAACTTGCAAGTTGGAGTTCATAGACTTTGCCTCTGGCAATTCTTTGGTATTCATAATCTGCTATACAACTAGACTCTTCAATATAATAATCCATTATACAAAATTTCTTGCTAAAATATTCACGTCTTATTTTTCAACTATGAATCTCAACCTTCAGATCACATTTTTGTTGTGTAAGTTGCAAGAAATATTAGTCCCTGCCATCAATCACTTAATATTTATTCTTGACATAGTGCTCACCTTACCCTCTTCAAACTTTCATTACTAATTCAGTTGACTGCAGTCTCTTTGCTATTACAGTACTAACATAAAGTATATATATTAGATCTTCAGTTAGTCAACTCTTTTTACCATATCTGCACAGAAAGAGAGGAAGAGACTCAGACATACCTTGATCAACAAGTTAAATAATAAAGATCTGGTCCTGATGTGTTAAAACAAAGTCAGTGAACATGTTAATAGGACCAATGGCAGATAATGAAAGTTGACCAGCTTGTGCCCATACCAGATTAGGTCCAAACACAACAGCAAGATTGGATGAAGTCATTTTGTTCAAGTCACTTCGGTCCATTACCTAAAAAAAACAAGAGAAACACAACTTATCTTATATCTCTAGTACACCTCCTTCAGCAAATTTATTTCCTCATTCTGGAATCATGATTAATATGTCTTAATAAATATGACACTGAGTTAGGAGCCACCTTGACAAGGCAGTAATATTTCATTTTGTCTGAATAACCTTTCTCTAGATAGTTCATTAGGCTGAGAATCTTTATCACTACCCAGTGACCTTGACCATACTCTTCTTATTTCTGCCTTGCCCATCTCACTTTTTGCTGCTTGACAAGAGCACTGACTGCCTCTCCAGGGTAGAGACCATAACTCTTCTTATTTCTGCCCTGCCCATCTCACTTTTTGTTGCGTGACAAGAGCACTGACTGCCTCTCCAGGGTAGAGACCATACTCTTCTTATTTCTGCCTTGCCCATCTCACTTTTTGCTGCTTGACAAGAGCACTGACTGCCTCTCCAGGGTAGAGACCATAACTCTTCTTATTTCTGCCCTGCCCATCTCACTCTATGTTGCTTGACAAGAGCACTGACTTCCTCTCCAGGGTAGAGACCATACTCTTCTTATTTCTGCCCTGCCCATGTCACTTTTTGCTACTTGACAAGAGCACTGACTGCCTCTCCAGGATAGAGACCATACTCTTCTTATTTCTGCCCTGCCCATGTCACTTTTTGCTACTTGACAAGAGCACTGACTGCCTCTCCAGGATAGAAACCATACTCTTCTTATTTCTGCCTTGCCCATCTCACTCTTTGCTGCTTGACAAGAGCACTGACTACCTCTCCAGGGTAGAGGCCATACTCTTCACCAGTATTATTCCAGTACAGTACCTGTTCATAATGCAACTTACCCGACTAGAACACTACAGTGCAATATAAAGGGTATTATTGGTTCTGATACAAACATAAACAAGCTCCGTGACCTGTAATCTGCAAGAGAACTATACTGAATGAGCGACTGCTGCTTGTCAGCAAAGTTAGTGCCAACTTTAGCGGATAGAGGGTGTCGCGTGGTCAGCGCAATGGAACCCCCACAGCCATTACTCTTGGTTTTCTAGACTGGAACCGCTATTTCCTTGAAATAGCTCCTCAATTAACCTCACGAGGCCGAGGTTCCAGATCCACTACTTCTCCGAAAATCTGGTAGCACCAGGAATCAAACCTGGGACCTCTGGATCTGTAGCCAGGAACTCTGACCACTAGACCGCAGAGGTGGTCACCTGGTTCTTATATAAGAATGGATGTGTTGCTTGTTTCAATTGATGCAGTTGCAGAGAATCAGATGACAATAAATTAATGCAACAGGTAGAAAACACCAGTATAAAAGCCAGTAATCATCCAGAATTACAATTTAATGGAAGGAATAAATATGTCTGATATGCTGTTCTACACATGTAACATGTAGGTCATACCGAAAGTCATGAACAACTTTTTTTTTGCATGCAACCTGGGAACAGCAGATGAAAGAGAGTATGGTGGTAGATGGAACCAGCTGTTGTGTTAACCTTGAGTGTCTTGTGACGTCAGTAGCTTGCATCACGTGACCAGTATCACTCTTAACAAAATGGCCGACAATGATATGTCGTTTCGCCAGCGTGCTGTCATCGAATTTCTTGTAAAAGAGGAAATCCCTGCTGCAGAAATTCACCAGAGACTTCAGCGTGCTTATGGAAGTGTGTGCATGGGTGCAAGCAGTGTTCGAAGATGGGTGAAACATTTTAAAGATGGAAACACCAGCATCGAAGATGAGCCTTGGAGCGGTCGTCCTCGAACAGTCTCAACTGAACGCAACAAGGAAAGAGTGGGTGACATCATTCAAGATGACAGGCATGTGACTGTGGACACAATAGCCCAAAAACTTGGAATAGGGCACAGTGCAGTACAGGAGATGATCGAAAGCTTAGGCTATAGGAAAGTTTGTGCTCGTTGGGTCCTGCGATTATTGACTGATGACCACAAAGGTCAGTGAAAAGCCATCACCTCAGAACTGCTGCAGAGATATCGACATGAAGGCAACGATTTTTTGCTCTGTATTGTGACAGGTGAAGAAAGCTGGTTTCACCATTTCGAGCCTGAAACGAAACGGCAGAGTATGGAATGGCACCATTTGCATTCTCCATCAAAAAAGAAGGCAAACACAGTGCCACCAGCTGTGAAGGGATGCAGAGGGGTTTATTCTGGCTGAATTCCTGGAACCTGGGCAAACCATCAATGCTGCTTGTTATGTCCAGATGCTGCACAAGCTCCGTCGTGCATTGCAGGATAAGCGTCCGGGATGAAACATCATCATCCTGCATGACAACGCTTGCCTCACATTGGAAGCAACTGCAAAGATGGGGTGCGAAGTTCTTCCACATCCCTCCTATAGCCCTGATCTGGCACCCTCCGACTACCATCTTTTCGGATTTGTGAAGGATCGGCTGCATGGACGTTTTGAGACAAGGGAGGCAATTCAGAAAGCAGTGCATCAGTGTCTTTGGATGGCT